ACTACTACAACAACTACAACTAACTACAAACTACAACTACTACAACAACTACAACAACTACAACAACAACTACTACAACAACTACTACAACAACTACAACTACTACAACAACTACAACTACTACAACAACTACAACTACTACAACAACTACAACTACACAACAACTACAACTACTACAACAACTACTAAAACAACTACTACTACAACTACTACAACAACTACAACAAAACTACTACAACTACAACAACTACAACTACTACAACTACAACAACAACTACAACAACAACTACTACAACAACTACAACTACAACAACTACAACAACTACAACTACAACAACTACAACAACTACTACAACAACTACAACAACTACTACAACAACTACAACTACTACTACAACAACTACAACAACAACTACTACAACAACTACTACAACAACTACAACAACTACTACAACTACAACAACTACTACAACAACTAAATACTACAACTACTACAACAACTACAACTACAACAACTACAACAACTACTAAACTACTACCACACAACTACTACAACTACTACACTACTACAACCTACAACTACTACAACTACACCAACAACTACTATACAACTACTACAACAACTACAACTACTACAACAACTCCTACAACAACTACAACTACTACAACTACAACAACTACTACATACAACTACACTACTACAACAACTACAATACTACAACAACTAACTACCACACAAAACTACAACAACTACAACCTACACAACGACAAACTACTACAACAACTACTACAACTACAACAACTACAACTACTACACACAACTACTACAACAACTACAACTACTACAACAACTACAACTACTACAACACTACACTACTACCACAACTACTACAACAACTACAACTACTACAACAACTACAACTACAACACTACAACTACTACAACAACAACTACAACAACAACTACAACTTACTACAACAACTACTACAACTACTACAACTACTACAACAACTACTACAACAACTACTACAACACTACAACTACTACAACAACTACAACAACTACAACAACTACTACAACTACAACAACTACTACAACAACTACAACAACTACTACAACTACAACTACTACAACAACAACTACAACTACAACAACTACTACTACAACTACAACAACAACTACAACAACTACAACAACAACTACTACAACTACAACAACTACAACAACTACTACAACAACAACAACTACTACAACAACTACTACTACTACAACTACTACAACTACAACAACTACAACTACTACAACAACTACAACAACTACTACAACTACAACAACTACTACAACTACAACAAACTACTACTACAACTACTACAACAACTACAACAACTACAACTACTACAACTACTACAACTACAACTACTACAACAACTACAACTACTACAACTACTACTACAACAACTACAACTACTACAACAACTACAACTACTACAACTACAACAACTACTACAACAACTACTACAACTACAACTACTACAACAACAACTACAACTACAACAACTACTACTACAAACTACAACAACCACTACACTACTACAACTACAACAAACAACTACTACAACTACAACAACTACTACAACAACAACAACTACTACAACAACTACAACAACTATTACTACTACAACTACTACAACAACAACAACTACAACAACTACAACTACAACAACAACTACTACAACAACTACAACAACTACAACAACTACTACACTACAACAACTACTACAACTACTACTACAACTACTACAACAACTAAAACACAACAACTACAAGTACTACAACTACTACAACTACAACTACTACAACACTACAACTACTACAACTACTACTACAACAACTACAACTACTACAACTACTACAACAACTACAACTACTACAACTACTAACACTACTACAACAACTACTACAACTACTACAACAACAACTACTACTACTACTACAACTACTACAACTACTACAACAACAACTACTACTACAACTACTACAACAACAACTACTACTACAACAAACTACAACAACTACAACAACAACTAACAACACAACAACTACTACAACTACTACAACAACTACACTACAACAACTACAAACAACTACAACAACTATGTATCTCTCTGTGTCTGTCTCTCTGTGTCTCTCTGTGTCTGTCTCTCTGTGTCTGTATCTCTCTGTCTCTCTGTGTCTGTTTCTCTCTCTGTGTCTGTATCTCTCTGTCTCTCTGTGTCTCTCTGTGTCTGTATCTCTCTGTGTCTCTGTGTCTCTCTGTGTCTGTTTCTCTCTCTGTGTCTCTCTGTGTCTGTCTCTCTGTGTCTCTCTGTGTCTCTCTGTGTCTGTATCTCTCTGTCTCTCTGTGTCTCTCTGTGTCTGTGTCTCTCTGTGTCTGTATCTCTCTGTCTCTCTGTGTCTCTCTGTGTCTGTTTCTCTCTCTGTGTCTGTATCTCTCTGTCTCTCTGTGTCTCTCTGTGTCTCTCTGTGTCTGTATCTCTCTCTCTGTGTCTGTATCTCTGTGTCTCTCTGTGTCTCTCTGTGTCTGTATCTCTCTGTCTCTCTCTGTCTCTCTGTGTCTCTCTGTGTCTGTATCTCTCTCTCTGTGTCTGTATCTCTGTGTCTCTCTGTGTCTCTCTGTGTCTGTATCTCTCTGTCTCTCTCTGTCTCTCTGTGTCTGTATCTCTCTCTGTGTCTGTATCTCTCTGTGTCTCTGTGTCTATCTGTGTCTGTATCTCTCTGTCTCTCTGTGTCTCTCTGTGTCTCTCTGTCTCTCTGTGTCTCTCTGTGTCTGTATCTCTCTCTGTGTCTGTATCTCTCTGTCTCTCTGTGTCTCTCTGTGTCTCTCTGTGTCTGTATCTCTCTCTCTGTGTCTGTATCTCTGTGTCTCTCTGTGTCTCTCTGTGTCTGTATCTCTCTGTCTCTCTGTGTCTCTCTGTGTCTCTCTGTGTCTGTATCTCTCTCTCTGTGTCTGTATCTCTGTGTCTCTCTGTGTCTCTCTGTGTCTGTATCTCTCTGTCTCTCTCTGTCTCTCTGTGTCTGTATCTCTCTCTGTGTCTGTATCTCTCTGTGTCTCTGTGTCTATCTGTGTCTGTATCTCTCTGTCTCTCTGTGTCTCTCTGTGTCTCTCTGTCTCTCTGTGTCTCTCTGTGTCTGTATCTCTCTCTGTGTCTGTATCTCTCTGTCTCTCTGTGTCTCTCTGTGTCTATATCTCTCTGTCTCTCTGTGTCTCTCTGTGTCTCTCTGTCTCTCTGTGTCTCTCTGTGTCTGTCTCTCTCTCTCTCTGTGTCTGTATCTCTGTATCTCTCTGTCTCTCTGTGTCTCTCTGTGTCTCTCTGTCTCTCTGTGTCTCTCTGTGTCTGTCTCTCTCTCTCTGTGTCTGTATCTCTCTGTGTCTGTATCTCTCTCTGTGTCTGTCTCTCTGTGTCTCTCTGTGTCTGTATCTCTCTGTCTCTCTGTGTCTCTCTGTGTCTGTATCTCTCTTTCTCTCTGTGTCTCTCTGTGTCTGTATCTCTCTGTCTCTCTCTCTCTCTGTGTCTGTCTCTCTGTGTCTCTCTGTCTCTCTGTGTCTGTATTTCTCTCTGTCTCTCTGTGTCTGTCTCTCTCTGTGTCTGTATCTCTCTGTCTCTGTCTCTCTCTGTCTCTCTGTGTCTCTCTGTGTCTCTGTGTCTCTCTGTGTCTGTATCTCTGTGTCTCTCTGTGTCTGTCTCTCTCTGTCTCTCTGTGTCTCTGTGTCTGTATCTCTCTGTCTCTCTGTGTCTCTCTGTCTCTCTGTGTCTCTCTGTGTCTGTATCTCTCTGTCTCTCTGTGTCTGTATCTCTCTCTGTGTCTGTATCTCTCTGTGTCTGTATCTCTCTGTGTCTGTGTCTCTCTGTCTCTCTGTGTCTCTCTCTCTCTCTCTGTGTCTGTCTCTCTCTCTGTCTCTCTCTCTCTCTTTGTCTGTATCTCTCTGTCTCTCTGTGTCTCTCTGTGTCTGTATCTCTCTGTCTCTCTGTGTCTCTCTGTGTCTGTATCTCTCTGTCTCTCTGTGTCTCTCTGTGTCTCTCTGTCTCTCTGTCTCTCTGTCTCTCTGTCTCTCTCTCTCTCTCTCTGTGTCTGTCTCTCTGTGTCTCTCTGTCTCTCTGTGTCTGTATTTCTCTGTGTCTCTCTGTGTCTGTCTCTCTCTGTCTCTCTGTGTCTCTCTGTGTCTCTCTGTCTCTCTGTGTCTCTCTGTCTCTCTCTCTCTCTCTGTGTCTGTCTCTCTGTGTCTCTCTGTCTCTCTGTGTCTGTATTTCTCTGTGTCTCTCTGTGTCTGTCTCTCTCTGTCTCTCTGTGTCTCTCTGTGTCTGTATCTCTCTGTCTCTCTGTGTCTCTCTGTGTCTGTATCGCTCTCTGTGTCTGTCTCTCTCTGTGTCTCTCTGTCTCTCTGTGTCTGTATCTCTCTGTCTCTCTGTGTCTCTCTGTGTCTGTATCTCTCTGTGTCTCTGTGTCTCTCTGTGTCTGTCTCTCTCTCTGTGTCTGTATCTCTCTGTGTCTGTCTCACTCTGTGTCTGTCTCTCTGTGTCTCTCTGTGTCTCTCTGTGTCTGTATCTCTTTGTCTCTCTGTGTCTCTCTGTGTCTGTATCTCTCTGTCTCTCTGTGTCTGTATCTCTCTGTGTCTCTCTGTGTCTGTCTCTCTCTGTGTCTGTCTCTCTGTGTCTCTCTGTGTCTGTCTCTCTGTGTCTGTGTCTCTCTGTCTCTCTGTGTATATCTCCCCATCTCCATCACCATGCCTTTTTACCATTTTATTACTTCCCTTCTACGTGACGACTTTACCGAAAGAACCAAGAAGAATATGTGTTGACGGTCGTTTTCTCCTCCTTCCTTCCTTCCTCCTCGTAGAACCAGAAACATTTGCTGCGTCGACTGCCTCCGCCGTGCCGGAGCTTTTGTCGGCGGTGCCGCGGGCTTTGCCGACGCAGACATGAGCTCGGCGTTGAACGCCGATGAAGTCCGGGTCATGTCGGAGTTGCTGGCACACGGACTTCTCCGAGGTGACCTTTTCTGACTCCAACTTGTAGCAAGCACGTTGCCTACGGCTCGACCATTGGTTTTGTTACCCTTCTATCTGGCAACAAAACTGACACCTTTTTTACGAGGAGTCATGTTTGCGTAGACAGCAATAACTGCGGTCATAATGCAATCAAAAGAACACAACTCTGATAATGTGCACTGTCCTTGAAGTTGATTGGTCCACACCCGAGACAGCTTTCCTTAGAGCCTAGTCTCACATGGTCCTTGAAGTTGATTGGTCCACACCCGAGACAGCTTTCCTAGAGCCCAGTCTCACATGGTCCTTGAAGTTGATTGGTCCACACCCGAGACAGCTTTCCTTAGAGCCTAGTCTCACATGGTCCTTGAAGTTGATTGGTCCACACCCGAGACAGCTTTCCTTAGAGCCTAGTCTCACATGGTCCTTGAAGTTGATTGGTCCACACCCGAGACAGCTTTCCTTAGAGCCTAGTCTCACATGGTCCTTGAAGTTGATTGGTCCACACCCGAGACAGCTTTCCTTAGAGCCTAGTCTCACATGGTCCTTGAAGTTGATTGGTCCACACCCGAGACAGCTTTCCTTAGAGCCTAGTCCCACATGGTCCTTGAAGTTGATTGGTCCACACCCGAGACAGCTTTCCTTAGAGCCTAGTCTCACATGGTCCTTGAAGTTGATTGGTCCACACCCGAGACAGCTTTCCTTAGAGCCTAGTCTCACATGGTCCTTGAAGTTGATTGGTCCACACCCGAGACAGCTTTCCTTAGAGCCTAGTCTCACATGGTCCTTGAAGTTGATTGGTCCACACCCGAGACAGCTTTCCTTAGAGCCTAGTCTCACATGGTCCTTGAAGTTGATTGGTCCACACCCGAGACAGCTTTCCTTAGAGCCTAGTCTCACATGGTCCTTGAAGTTGATTGGTCCACACCCGAGACAGCTTTCCTTAGAGCCTAGTCTCACACGGTCCTTGAAGTTGATTGGTCCACACCCGAGACAGCTTTCCTTAGAGCCTAGTCTCACATGGTCCTTGAAGTTGATTGGTCCACACCCGAGACAGCTTTCCTTAGAGCCTAGTCTCACATGTCCCTTGAAGTTGATTGGTCCACACCCGAGACAGCTTTCCTTAGAGCCTAGTCTCACATGGTCCTTGAATTGATTGGTCCACACCCGAGACAGCTTTCCTTAGAGCCCAGTCTCACATGGGTTGGACCAGATGACTCGGGTGTGGACCAATCAACTTCAAGGACAGTGCATACATTATCAGAGTTGTGTTCTTTTGTTTGTATTATGACTGCAGGTATTGTAGTCTATGCAAACATGACTCCTTGCAAAAAGGTGTCAGTTTTGTTGCCAGATAGAAGGGTACAAAACCAATTATCATATTTTTACTGGCAAATGAGGTCCCCATAGTACGGCTCGACCGCTCGACACGTCCCTCTACAGCGCTCACTCGCCTCGGAGGAAACCGAACGCAGTTCGCACATTGCCGGCTCACCAGACGCGATGCTTAAGCATACCCAACGATTTTGATTGAAAGCTTCTTTCGTGACTGCTGCAGGGATTCATCTTCTTGGTTCTTTCGGTAAAGTCGTCACGTAGAAGGGAAGTAATAAAATAATGAAATAAAACACAATAAAATAATATAATAAAATAATAATAAAATAATATAATAAAATAATAAAGATAGAACATAATAAAATAATATAATAAAATTAAATAATAAAAGAATAAAAATAAAACATAATAAAATAATATAATAAAATAATAAAATAAAATAATACAAATAAAACATAATAAAATAATATAATAAAATAAAATAATAAAATAATAAAGATAAAACATAATCAAATAATAAAAATGAAACGTAATTAAATTTCGATGTAAAGCTGCTTTCGTGACTGCTGCAGGGATTCATCTTCTTGGTTCTTTCGGTAAAGTCACGTAGAAGGGAAGTAATAAAATAATGAAAATAAAACATAATTTTTTATGTTTTATTTTATAAAACATAATCATTTATTATGTTTTATTTTATTTTTATTATTAATTTATTATGTTTCATTTTTATAAAACAGAATAATTTATTATTATGTTTTATTTTTATAATATATAATAAATAATAAAAATAAAACATAATATTTTATTATGTTTATTTCATTATTTCATTACTTCCCTTCTACATGATGACTTTAAATTTCGATTTAAAGCTTTCGTGACTGCAGGGATTCATCTTCTTGTTTCTTTCGGTAAAGTCACGTAGAAGGGAAGTAATAAAATAAAATAAAAATATTATGTTTTATTTTTATTATTTTATTACTTCCCTTCTACGTGACTTTACCGAAAGAAACAAGAAGATGATGACTTTACCGAAAGAACCAACAAGATATACCCCAACGATGCCTCCAAGTGCCTGGCTTTGCGATGATAAACCTCTTGCAGCCGTGGCCAAGCGTTCCAGCCGGGTTCGTACGCACTCGGCCGTACCGGATCGATCCATCTTGCCCCTCTGTACAGCCCCCTCTGAGCCTCGCTCAAATCTACCCGGGGAAAACATTAATCTCCGTTTCCACAGTGCACGTTCTGCGTGTAATGCTCGCGGACTCGTGCGTTCGGTGTCACTCCGCTGCTGG